GCCCCAGCAGGGCATGCACCTGAGTGGGGAACTGCTCCAGGGCTAGGATCTTGCAGTGGTCACAACATGGTCCTGAGCCAGGTAGAGCTACAATCCCCTGCACCACCTCAGGCAGGGGTATGCAGGCAGCAGATCATGGTTCTGCCCTGGCTTTGGACCACACTGTAACCATTGCAAGATCCCAGTCCTGGCTGGAGCAGCTCCCCACCCAGCCGCATGCCCTACCAGAGTCAATCCATCCACAGATATTCAAGACTTATACCAAAATTACACTTCTCAGATAAATAATGCAACTCAGCTAGCCTGAGAACACAACTGAGCAAACAATGTCAAAAGCCTATGAGTTAATGAAAAGTCAGTAGCACTGCACATTTCTGGCTAGCCTCAGGGATCTGATTGGCTTCTAGGTAGATGATGAGCCAGTCAGCATAGGAATCCCACATGATGGCCTGTCCATATCAAATGCTTCAATGTGGTCCAACATTGCCATAGAGGAACATTCCCATCCCATAGGACCTCATCCTTGTCACCAGGGTAGTGTCTTGCAGGATATTTGTTGTCCCAATGATATGGCACAGGGAAGAACAGGGCAGCCAGCTTCATTGTACAAAACAAAAGGGCCTAACTGAGTACTTTTGCAAGCATCGCAGCAGGAAACAACAAGAAATACAACACAACAAGCATAGCTCCACTCGCTGGAATGCACGACACACAGACATGACACTTAGTGTGTAACAAAAAGAACCCTGAAAAATTAGCGAGGGTTTTTAAAAGAGCACCAGGAATGTTGCGAGGACTGAAAATCCTCACACATGATGAGAGATTTAGGGTGCATTGCCCCACTTTCTAAGAGCTTTTGAAGGCACCTCCCAAGCACACCTCCCTCACCTGAACCCATTCTACAAGCGCCTTCCTTGGAAATACCACCACTCTACCACCGGTCTTCACTGTGCCAGAATCAGAGTGTGAGAGCCACAATAAAGGCCGCTCATGTATTTCCTCATTCCTGTGTATGACACAGGAGCAGATGGGCGGGCCCCCAGGCAGAGGTGGGGAAGCAGTATTAATATACTCTTATGGAGCATATTCCATTGGAAGTATTAGAAGAAGGTTAGAGCATGATTTGATTATAGATGTTGATGTAAGGACCCAGGGACTGTAGAAGGCCATTAACCAAAGAGACAGCAGCAAAACACAGCCCACTGTCTGAAAGGGAGAAGTTCAAAATGGAACCAAGGCACAGTTATTAAACAGACTATAAATAACTGGAATGATTTAATAAACAGGTGGGTGCAAGATCCCTGGGTGAAATTCTCTGGCTTTGGTTGTGGAAGACAACAGGCTGATGAATACAGTAATCCATAAATTATTGGGAAGCAGAGGAATTATAGCTCCAGGAGAAGCAGAATTTGCTAGCTGTAATTTTGAGTCTCCCTCAGTGAACAGGGTCCCTCTTTCCCCCCCATTATGAATTGAGAGGGGAGCAAAAGCAGAGAGGGAGACTGGTAAATGAAACAGTAATGAAGACCCAGCTGCCAGCTCAGCAGCTTCAGTAGTTGCCTCACCCTGTACAGTTGAAGAAGAATGATGACTTATTCTTCAGGAAGGGACTTGCAGACTTCTGACCAGAAGCGTGAGTGTATGGGCCAGAGCCAAAGTTGTGTGACCAGAAACTGGGAGTTCTTTTCTATAATGATGGGCCACCATGTTTTGGACAGATGCAAAAGTACATATGGAGCAAGAAAAAAATCAAGCTGCACTGTGGCACCCATACGGAACACGGAGGGGAAGCTCACAGTTGACCCCCATGAAAAGCAAGAGTTCCACAGCAATTACTTTGCATCAGTATCCCTGAAACAAAGTGAGAACTGGTCACCAGACTGGGGGAGCAGAGAATATAGCAATGATAGCAGTCCTCATAAAATCAGTCCAGAACAGGTGAAGATACTCTTAGCTCAATTGGACGCTTTCAAGTTAGCTGGTCCAGGCAACCTTCACCAAAGAGTGCTGAAAGAGCTGGCTGAGCTCATAGCGGTGCCTCTGGCAAGGCTGTACAAGGAATCGTGGGACTCAGGAGTTGTCCCTAACGACTGAAAGAAGGTGAACATGGTACCCATCTTTAAGAAGGGAAACAGGGATGACCCTGCCAACTATACACTAGTCAGTCTGACTTTAGTCGTGGGAAGGTCTTTGAAAAAATTGTCAAGGAGAACATCACCCACAAGTTCGCATGTGGTGGGGTACTGAGAAGCAACCAGCATGGCTTTGTAGACGGGAGGCCATGCCTAACAAACCTGGTGTCCTTTTATGACCAGGTAACTAAGCACCTGGACATGGGACAAGAGGTGGACAGCATCTACCTAGATTTCAGCAATCCCTTTGATACTGTTTCCCATGAAATCCTCTGAGTTAAGTTGGAGAGTACTGGCCTAGACTAGGCTACAGTGAGGTGGGTGGGGAACTGGCTCTGCAGCTGATCCCAGCAAGTCGCAATCGATGGGGTGGTCTCATCCTAGAAGGCCATCTCCAGTGGTGTACCCCAAAGATCAGTGCTTGGGCCCGTGCTTTTTAATATCTTTATTAATGACTTGGACAAGGGAGTAAAAATTGCAATGATTAAGTTTGCAGACAATACCAAACTGTGGGTTGAAGAGGGCACATTAGAGGACAGGTCAAGGATTCAGGAAGACTTTGACAGGCTGGTCTTATAGACTCATAGATGCTAGGGTCAGAAGGGACCTCAATAGATCATCGAGTTCAACCCCCTGCATAGGCAGGAAAGAGGGCTGGGGTGAGGTGGAGC